TTTAATAATTAAAATAGAAAAAAATCTGAACTCGATCTTTAACCTAAACCTTCTATAATCGAAATCCGGAAATCTGGCCGGATTTTAGCCAGTATCCGTCCAGTAGTCGGTTAGCAGAAAAACGGCCGCACAAGCCGGATTACGGATATCTACCGGACACCCGGCACATCCCTAAATACAACGTATCTGTGTATATATGTCCATAAGTAGACGTATTAGCTGAGGTCGTATGGTGCCACGTAGCGTATACGTTGCATACGCAACTACGGGTATATGCGAATGAGTGGTTATTTTTACTTTTTTAGTATGTATATCTTTTATATAAGTTTTCATTTTAAAATACAAGTTCGCGTTGGAATCTTGTTCTTTATACATAACTGAAGATAGTGCATATTCTAAGATAGGCGTAACACCATTTTCGAAATTTAACGATGCCCACTTTTTCAAATGAGTTTCCGTCAACCGTTGCATGGTGAATGATGAAATTTCGTTGCAAAATATATCGCTTGAAATTTGTTGCCACACTTAACCCACTGTGCGGCGGTAGTTGAGAATAGGATGGGCAAATATGAATTGAGTGTGGAATTGGAGCGACTAAGCGGCCGAAGCAACCGGGGCCGTAGCAAGAAGACACACTCCAAAATACGGCTGGCAACGTCAAAGGACGCCAAGGGGGGTTAAGGCTGATTATGGCAACATGAAATAAACTCGTTAATGAAGTAATTTAGGTATACTTGAAGACTGTTGGCTACACATACATACATACAAACTGCATATAAACACAGCACACACACACACACACACAAAAATAGAACTTATTTGTAGAACCAGTTGAATAGTATTTTTAAAGAAAACAATCATAAAAGTCACACTCAATCATAATTGATGCAACAAAAAAGGAAAATCAAAGGCATTTCAAATTGTTGTTCACGCTTGAAGAATGGCTGAGCACGCGAAGAGGCGCACATAAATGATGGTGGAATGGATGGGAGCAAGGAAGCAATGACAGCGACAGCAAATGGTTAATATTGAAGTTGGGTGCGGATGATGTTGGCGACGATGGCTTTGTGCATTTAATATAAATATGTATGTACATATGTATGTCTGTATAAATAAATATGTAGTTATGTATGTACATATGTATATAAATTCAATTTTATTCCTACTCTTATATGGATCTACCTGTCTGCTGCTGAGCACAAATTGTCTGGTTGTTGTCGAGTACTTAGAACGAAGATATACACATTTACATACCATACATAATTGTGGATGAGATTAAGGAAATGAACTTGCGTAGGCAATGCTTTGGTTTAGCTGCTATGGCGAATGCCTTCTTTATCAATATACATATGTACATACCAGTGAGATGCAACATTGCAAAACGTGTGACACAAAGTGGCTCTCTAGATGAATGCGTTAATATGTAGCTTGATGCAGTAACTAGGACTAGAGGAATGACGCCTCGTAGCTAAAGCAGTCACAGGAGCGCCAAACCCACTTACCTTAACACAAATGCACACATATGTACATACACACCATTTGCGTCCTCCGCCTTTGACACCGACACGTACATACATATGTACATATGTACACTCCGGCGAACGACCGAGTGTAGGAATAACGCCGCGTTATGTTATCGACAACGCGCGCTCATAAATAATAATAGCAACAATTGCCGTAATACTCGTACAATAATCCCACGAAACAAGTAAAAGACACGTCAAGTTTAAGTGCCAATTCACAACTGTGTGGCAGGCAAATAAGCGAACTGCGAACCCTCAGCCAAGCAAAAAGCGATGACAAATCGTCGACGCCAACGACAGCAACACGGGCAACTGCAACAGCAACAACAGCAACAATAACAAGGGCAATGATGACGACTGCCACAACAACTGGATCTTTGTGTGCGTGTGTGTTGGCTTACGAGTTGCAGCTGATGCTCGAAATCGACTCTGCAACTTGTACACAGGGCTATTTGTGCTGTGCATTCGTGGGGCAGACAAGTTAGTAAACATCAATGCCGGCTTAGCTGGCAAATTGAGTGCGCCACTATAAGGACTGTGAATTGCACACATATGGAGCATGAATGGCATGTATGTATAAGCGCCTGTGTGTGTTCACAAGACTTATGTATGTATAACGCAAGCTATAACAATTGACGTCGATAGTAGCTAAGTAAATACATATTTATATGTATATATTTGACTGTCGTGCATGTGGCAAGCACGCTGCGGTAAATGCGTAATTTTGTTGATGAATGTTGTCATTGCCATTGCATAGACTGCTGCTGCAGCAGAATATAATATTTATTGCTTGTGGCTATTTCGATGTTGCCGGCAACATGTTTAATTTCATCTGTAGGACAACATGTACCTTAGTGAGTAGTGAGCGGGCGGGAGAGAGTGAGAGAAAGAAGGAAATGGACATATTGGAACAACAGTGGGTTTATGTTAGCAACTCATTTGAAGTTTGGATGAGTTGAAAACAAATGCTTGTCTTTTCTTAATTTTATAGCTCAGGGAAACCCCAATATGTATAACGAAGTTGAAGGAGTTTGACAAATACTGTTTCAAATGCCGATAGAAAGGTAAACAGAAAATTTTTGGAAAATTCTTTATATCTAAGTAAAGAAAGCAAGTTGTCAAAAGCTGCGTTTTTCCAAAAGTGTAAATTCTGGTAGAATACCTATCCAGTAAAAATGTTTGTTCGGTAAGAAGTCTCTTTAAGGCGGCAAACCCGTGGAAATGGGTGTAGAATATCCCTTCGCTAACAACATTTGAAATGGGTGTGGCAGTTTTAGGATCAAAGTTAGTAAATTTAGATTTAATTAGATTAATTTAGGAGAATAAATAATTTTTTTTTTTAGATATTACAAATGCGTATTTAAAATTTTGCTTACACATTATCGCTATGACTGAGTGACTAGAACTGTGTAATACCACTCCGTAGGACCTGGGTTCGGTTACATTTGCACAGTTATTCAACTTGAAAAAGGCTAAACAGACCTCGCGGATTTTCATTACCGATGTTGTCGATGTCATCAGCATATGGCGTCATATACAAGTGGTGGAATATCGACTCCGTCATCATCGACTAGTTAGTAGGGTGGAAAGTATTCAGACCATAAAATACATTCTGGTCATCGGTCACTAGGTCGCTATGGTTATTCTTACAGGAGTTCACCCTGGTCTTGAAACCTTCCGTAAGTCGCTTAACTCTTTGGTAAATTTTTCAGCTTCAGTGGGCCCACTCCGAAATATTCGGTTTAAGGGCTCACTGAAGTTTGCAGCGTCTGTTCACTAGTACGCGCGGGCATCTGTCTTGTAGCAAAAAGCTCACTAAAAAATCGAAATTCGTCTCCAAAGAAATCGCACTGCCAACAACGGGTTGTGCGCTGGGTTTGGGACCCGCCATGTAAAAACCCCTTCTAGTGAATAATAAAATTAAAGGTTCGGATGAGACCCCCTTTTGATGACGATCATGGCAAACCTATAAAGGACTAAGATTTGAGGGTATGCGCCTCAGTGCAATCAATACCCCACACTAAAGTACAGGGAAATTTGTGCAATGTGATCAGTTTTAAATCAGTATAATTTCAAGTAGTAGGGACGAGTAACTATGTAAAAGTTACTGTTTCAAAACTCGCTATATTAAAGTTTTATATATAAAATTTGCAAAAACTACCATACTGCGATTTTGTTTTTTAATGTTATTCGGCTCTTTTTGATCCAATTTTTCAGAAAATAAAAAAAGATACAATTTGGATTTTACTTGTTGTTGTAGGCGTTTTTTTAAATTTATTGCTCACTATTATAAAATCACATAACGCTCTTTACAAGTGGACTACTCAATTCAGCTCCTAAAAGAGAGCTTATACAAAGGCTAATTGAATTTGATAAAAAAAAAATAAAATTGTTGTTTTTGAAAACAAGTTTGAAACCCTGATATTTGAGGAATCAACTTGTAATATCTTGTTTGGAGCTAAAAGGCCCATATTTCAGCGTTTATTTTTTACTGTTCAAAAGATTTTATTCCACGGCTATGTCTTTTTGCAGAAGCTCAAAAAATAGTTTGACAGTCAGATCCCGTTTGGCTGTGTTTTTAGTACGAAGGGAAGTTTAAATACGTTTTACTCGAAATTAAGGTCTTTCTGAAAGGGACTACACCATTTGTCGTTAATTTGCCTTTTAACTTAATTCGCTGATCTGCTGCTTACACTGTATGTAAGTAAGCACTTCTAAAGCATTTTCTCTTGTACTTACTGCCCATGCTGCTACCGCTGTTGTTGTTATTACATTGCTCTTGCCATGCGATAAAAAATTCTTAATATACATGCATACATACATACATATAATCACATTACTAAGCAGTGTTGCCACTGCCTTAGCTTTATAGTATCCATAAAAAATCGACAACTGTATCCAAATGTATGCACCGAAAAGAGCGCACATTTTTACACAGTAACAAACTTATTAACACGTAGTCAGTATTTTTCCATACTTAGACACGGATTTGGGAAACAAGGGCCCGTAGTTATAGTCGCAATTAAGTCGACACTAAAGTTAACTGCAGTTTTTTTTACATAATTTGCAATAGAATACCTGTCAAAACAGCTGGAACTAACTTTAGTGTCTACTTAATTTTGAACTTCCTTTGAATGCTAACAGAAGGGTGGCTCGGGATGTGAAAGTGGATTTTTTCGCATTATAGTTAACTATTACAGGTCGGAAAACTTTTTCAAATTTGCAAACTACTTGGTCTTATTAAATGCGCGCTTATGTAGCTAAAAAATAATAATTTTTCAAAATGACAAGAATAATGGAAAATCTCTTGCTTGGCGGATGAGCAGCCAACTGTTAAAATTGTTATAATAGCTCGTACATAAATAAAAAAAAAATCACTTCAACTTACGAATACTTATGGGAAAAGGTATCCAAACTTACAATGAGGAAAAAACACGAAGTATCCCTCAAAATTTAAGGCGATAATGTATCCTATTGGATACATATGTATCTAAACGGCAACACTGTAACTAAGCCTCTGGTGGAGCTAAACAACTGAACTGAATTCATTAAAAGATTTACTCTCTCAACAACATCTCACTCTCACACTGGCCCACCATATCTCTCTAAGAAGTTCGTGCACTTATCATACAGATACGAATTGGACAGCAACAACAATCCCCCTAGCAATTTAAAGGCAGTCAATAGCTTTATAGCCGCCAGAGCAGTGGCAAATGATGACAGCAACATGGGCGCTTAATGGAATTTAACTCAATAAACGAGAAAAAGCGGACGTGCACACACACACACACACACCACAGTACGACAACTCACAACACTCCATATGTTCGCTACTCCAACTTAACTTTCTTCGTTTTCGATTTAAGAGCTGTATTTGTATGTGTTACTGTATTGTAAATACAAATCATTTTAATGGATGTCATTTAAATTTTTATTACTTCGGCAACATGTTGCTGAGCTCGCACAAGCAAGTGTTGCAAGTGAAGAATTGCTGCTCGTATGCTAACAATTAGTGTGGCAATTTTTGGATAGTTGGTAGTGCGCATGTGTGTAAGCTTACACTTGTGTTTAAATGTTGCCAATAAATAATCACCCGGTGAGAAAATGGGAATGCATTACCTTTTTCTACCAAGAAAAGATTACCGACTACGTTGGAACGAAAAGATGCATCGCAATGTAAGCGAGGGGAAGGCACAAACAAAACAAACAATTTGGGAACTAACTTAAGAATGTAAGTTTCTCGCGTTGTCTCAGCGGCTACTGTAGCCGTTCATTATATTTTGGCAGTAATAAATTTCGCAAATGTTTCCAATTAGCGACCCCTTTTGAGCATTGAATAGGTCCATTCTTTTGCAACCAAGCTGCAAAAGAAAACTCGCTTAGATGACGAAATACATACACGCAAAGCAACAATACAAACTCGGCTATTTATCCGAATTCAGCCAGGTCGGTTAAAAAATACGCGACCTGAAGAGTAGTGTTGTTAAGTGAAAAAAACTGCTCTATTGTGAATTTTTAATGAGAAAGTGGGGAGGGTAAAATTTTTGTTTTCGTCTATACATGATTTATATTTTAAATAAGCATATATATTACGCAAATACCTCGCATAATTACTAATTTCAATTGCTTTTTATGTCTAAATCCCGTTGAACTAATCACATGTTTCTTGCCTGCTACCAGCAGGGTTGCTTAAGTGGCTAAAAGGAAATTATACCCGAGTTGAGCGTTCTTTTATCGCTTGCTTACAAAAAAATGCAGCTAATATACATATATATACATACATACATACGAACATTAGTAAAGACTGATAAAATGCAAATTGCTTTCAAGAGAACCAGACACTTTTTGAGCAAAACGTTATGCTTTGGGAACGTGTATATATGTACATATGTATATAATATTAAATACATATGCATGTTATTATGCTAATTGCTTGAGGAATTAATAGGGTGATTTATTTGTAAATCGACGAGATAATGGCTTTGCAAAGATTCTTTGTATATGGAAAATCATCTGAATTTAAGGACTGTTGATTGATTTATTACCTTACCTTAATATACTAGATAAGATTTAAAATTTTTGTTTCTTTACAGAGTAATTATAAAATTTTATGCACTGCGATTTTTTTCATTACACTGGATTAGCAGAGCTTTATATCAAAAGAAAATGGCTTGGGCATATTGTATGCATGAGCGATGGACAACGAAAACAATGAACAAAATATAAGGACCAAATGCAGAAAGACCTATTCTACATTCGGGATGAACGACCGGCGCAAATCTGCAAAGTCTCAAAAAGAAAAACGGTTGTTCTGCTAAATAAGAAGAAGAAGAAGATAGAAAACACTTATCGGAAAATTCTTCATTTTGTCCCACTGCACACGACAGCCAAGTAAGTCAAATCTAAACTTAGAAAAGCTTAACAAGTCAAGTTGATTCATTTTAAATGAATGAATAAGTAACTCGAAGCAAATGACTTTTGGATTACAAACGAAAAGACAGCACAAACAACTACTTGAAAATACATACAGACATATGTATGCACACATGTATTCCAGTTTGTGTATATGTTTATATACATACCCAGTAGAAATCGGTTGTATGCATTCTTGAAGGATGCTTT